TAATAAGCTTACTTACAAACAATATTCTCGACATCTCGGAAAAGATAGATAACTTTGCAAAACAATTTACTCAAGTAATCAAGTAAGTAATCAAAGCAATAGAAACCAAGAACAAAGGAAAAGGCAAAGCTATACCCTGGTGAACAGCAGAATGCAAAAAGGTTTACATTGAATATCTAAACAAACAAGCTGCACCTGAGAACCCCTCTACTATAGCAATTAAAGAGTTCAAAACAATAATTAGAACAATTAAATACAATTACTGGAAACATTTTATAGACGGTATCTCTATTGATAAGGATCTGTACAAAATAGTCGGCTGACACAAACTGGCCCCGAATCTCAAGAGTCCCCCAATTATTTCAAATGGAATAGTAATAAAAAACTCAATAGAAAAAGCCGAATTATTCAAAACAGAGGTCCTGGACCAGTTCAGTACAGAGAATAATCTAGAGTATAACCTATTGGGAGAACAATAGAAAGGAAATAGACATCTACCCCCTGGAACTCTTGGTTTACAATAGAAGAAGTCGAAACAAGTATTATTGAAGTATCCAGTATATCACTAGAGATCAACCAAGTTACAATCAAACTTCTCAAAGTCTGCTGGGACTACCTCAAAGATCTATTAAGAAGGTTTTTCCAAAAGTATCTCGAATATAATCATTTCCTAAAGACTTGGAAACTAATTGAAATAGCTATAATACCCAAAATCAGTAAAAGAGATATAATATCTGCAAGATCATAGAGATTCATCGCCTTACTCTTCTATATAGGAAAGGGCCTGGAAAGAATAGTTGCTAAACGAATAGACTGGACAATCCTAAAGTATAGCATTATTAGCCTTCAGCACAGCGGAGCCCTGTCCAAACGCTCTATAATAGATTTGGTGGTATTCTTTATATACAATATGGAAATAGCATTGTTAACAGAAAAAGAGGTAACCATAATCACTATAAATATATAAAAAATATTCAATACATTGCTTAAAAGACAACTCCTAATTAGAATAATAGAACAAGACTAGCCCAAAAACCTCCTTTTTTTAGTTGACTCCTTTTTAACGAAAAGGAAAGTTAGAGTCAGGCTTGAATAAGTTACAATCAAGGAGCACCCAATGGTTTGTGAAACCCTATAAGGCTTCTCTCTCTCCCTAGTTCTTTACATACTATACCTGGCAGAATTAATAGTAAAAAACATTATCCTTAGATTCGGATACACGAATGATATATATCCCTTAGATTCGGATACACGAATGATATATATCTATATAGAGTATCCAAAATCCTAAAAGAAAATACCAGATTTTTTGCTAGAAATGTTCAAAACATTATAGAATAGAAATCGAACAATTACATTATCTTTGCTCCAAAGAAATTGGAAATGATCTATATCTTCACAAGAAATGGTAACACAATATCTACCATTAGAATAAATAAAGAATTTACAATTCACCCAATAATAGTTACAAATACAAATACCCGTCCAACACTGAAATAATTGGGAATGTGATTCAACCGAAAAATAAACTTCCAAAGATATGTTATAGAACACACAAATAAAGCCAGAGCAATAACAAAGCATATACAAGGCCTAACCAAGATTGTATAAAGTCTCCCAATACATTTGATACACAAGACAATAATAATATATATATTACCCTTATTCCTATATAGAATAAAGGCCTAATATAGAGAAAGATTCAAAGCTATACAAAGACTCAAGCCCGGATAAATACAGTCCAATGCCCACCTAGACTGGTATATAATACAAATCGAGAAAGTCCTTACAACAACAACATAAGGAATTATCCCAGTCTGGAAAACTATACCAGTGATAGCTCTCTACCGCAAAACAGGACTCCCCTTAGCTATAGTAGCCCTCAAGGAAGCCAAATTAAGGTTTGCCCTATATCTACAAAATATAGACGAAACCCACCTGTTTACAAAAAGGATTGAACTCCTCATGATTATCAAAGGTCGAGGGATAGACACAAAACAAAAAGCGAAAACCAAAATCCAAAGATTTGGTCTCCTTGTCCCCCCAATCCTGAGGCCTACACTCGAATTATTAAAGTACACACCTAGCTATCGAATAAACCTAACAAAAGGAATTGATAAGAAAACAGCAACAAAAGCCTTCAAAACCTAATAGAATAACCTGTCAGAAACAGATATCACTATCTTCTCAAATAGATTGGAAAACTATATACAAAGAAAACATATAATGGGATATAGATATATAACATATCTAGGCAAGAACCAAATACTGATAGATTCTGATTTCATTAACATCCAATCCTATATCTTCGATACAGAGATTATTGAAGTATAGACAGGCCTAAAACATACCCTCAAGAATATCAAATATACAAACCAGAAAATCTAGATATATATTGATAATGTTTCAGTTATCTGGTATATATATACCAACACCTCTATATCATTATAATAAATATTCAACAATTATTACAGAGTTATAAAAGAGTATAACATTCATATCAAATAATTACCAGAATATAAAAACATTAAGGGAAACAAGGCAATTGACTACCTCACAGACCTTGATGCTAAGAAAACCCGATAGAATACTGGACCAGCTTTGCAGTCTATTTATAATAGAATACAATCGATTATATATAACCTCAGAGAAAATGCTTATCAACAATGGTAGACCTTTTGCAAACCTGTTTTCTCAATATAGTATAAACAGTAGGACCTGATATATAAAGTCAAACCACTACCAGAACTCCTGCTCCCGCGAATAGTCCTACAAAGACTGATAATTATTCGAACCTTATATAAAGACTTTGAATAGTATCACAGGAAATTCAAATATACAGGGGATACAGAATGTTTATACAGAAAACCCAAAACCCTTGCCCACCTAATCCACTGCTGGAAAGCAAGAGATACTTTCGAATAATAGCCAAACAAACCCTCTACACCACCCTCAACAAATACAAAAGGAATCCAATATCTACACCAGGTTCTGAATAACCCTACAGACTTTGCCAAACTACTAAAATTAACAAAGTTTTACGAAAACATATATCTAAGGTAGAAAACTACAAACCTGTAATCTACAACCAAGTCTCAAAACCTGTGATAACTCATACCCACTACCAGGATTGATTTGTAATATATAATACAAACGATATCACAAACTCCCTTTACAGAGTATATACAGGAAAACAATAATATTGTCAGGACCTAAAAACCCTGGTAAAATACTAATAAGATATACAAAAGCACACCTGAGAATGCTTTCAGGAGTATAACAAATATCCTAATTGCTATATCTAAAAGTAGTTCATTGAACTATTTAATACATGCAATAACAAGCCTACAATATAAATACAATTGTCTACACTAGGCAAAACAGCAGGATCACTTCAATCAACAAAGAAAGGAATACACAAATTGGAAGATAATACACGATTACCGGGAATGGCTATAAGGCTTTCACTTTTCTTTCTAAGGCATTTGTATCTCATGTATTGTAAGATTATAGCTTAGAATATCAGCATACCCCTACAGAGGTTCTGAGGGCAGCCATAAGCTGCCCTCCTGATGTAAATAAATACTACTACTACTACTACTACTACTACTACTACTACCACCGGATCCCAGTGCAGCACGATGGTCCTAGACTTGATCTCCCTCAGGATATTTCGGACCGTCGCTTGTTCTTGTTTGAAAAAGCAGAGGGAGAGAACAATGTATGGGGGGAGCTTAATCCAGAACAAAAGGTACATGCCTACGTCAGCAGTTTATTCTGTTCGATTTAATTTAATTATACTAATCTTCTATCTAGGCCTGTCTTCTTGCTCAGTCAGCCCGTATTCGTGCATCATTGTTCAACTTCAATCTCCCACTCGACTTCGCCGCTAAATGGCTCCGCGAACGCCTCTTTGAACAAAAGCCCAAATCGCTCCCCATTCCCGTTGCTCCTACACGCGAATTTTGCGTCTCTCTTTTCACGTCCAAGATCGAAGCGACAATCAGGAACATAGGCGACATGATCGGGTGGGAGGATGACAATCACACTGTCGGACCCGTTGCTATGACGGCCAAGCGGTCTCTCTTGCGCCTCATCCCACATATCATACCTGTAGATAACGATCAGGCTTCTCTCTATCGTCTCGTTCTCGAGCACGGCGATTTCAGTATTCACAACATGTCGATTAAAATGGATGCAAAGGATCAACCCCTCGTGACGTCTCTATACGATTGGGAGACTGGGTGCATCGTGCCGGCTATTTTGTCCGATCCGTTAATGGCCGTATGGATCGACCTAGTGACAGATGACAATGCCGCTCCTTCATTAATTCGAGTGCCTGACGACGCAACTTCAGATGACCACGCGCTGTACATGACATGGGCAAGGCAATATTTCAAGGTACGTCCTCTGTTCAAGCATCGTCTTTCTCAGTATATGAGCAGGGAAGTAACTATCTTTCTTCGTGTAGGAACTCTTCAATCAGGCGCCCAACTACAAACGTGCAATACAGGCAGGGAAAGACGCACGCTACCTTTGGTTTGCGTTGCGAGAGTGGCGAGGGATGGACCCGGAGGAATATTTCGGTGATCTGGGAGCTTGGGCTGAGAGGAGGATGAAGGAGCTTGGTATTGATTCAGTGTGAACAATAACTGATCGCCTTTCTTGTTCCCCTTTCGATATTCTAGCCTGATTCCAATAACCTTCCATCGACGAACTTGACGAAGGGTGGGAAAAGTAGTTAATAATTGGAAGTATATTGAATTGATTGATTGAACTGTATTTATGATCCTATTTCTTAATCTATCGCGTCTTTCGAATATATATTCGAAAATGAGGCATCGGCGCGGCCCATCAACTGCTATATTTTCGAAGAAAGAAGAACAAATCAATGTCACGTTAGTGCTACCGTGACTATAATACTCGATAGCACAACGAAGAATGTAAATTAAAATGAGTCATCCTGTTTAGCTATATCTGTCTTCGATTGATTCCTATCACTAACTGAAAATCCTATCTATGTAACTATGCCACCTTGTCTTAGGAGGCCTCTCCACATAATTACTCGTATACTCCTCAATCTCATCCACCTCCTTTGTTCTCAAAATCACCTCGTGTGGTTTCAACCATTTCGTTTTCTTAACAACTTTCCATCCGAAAAATATAATAGGAAAGACACCAATCATTGCATAGGAGAATAGGAAAGTAGGGATGTCCCATGCACCTTCACGAAGGTCAGTTGATTTGGTTTGAAAGGGATCAAAGGTGATTTTATGGGGAGTAACGGAGACGAGGTAACAGAAGAGAAAAGTAAAATTGACGAACCAGGTAGAAATACCGTATATCCACCAACAAAAGTCATGATGAAACATCCAGTCAATGCATAATATGCACTGAATGGTTGCCAGAAACTTTTATGTGGTAAATTATTCCTATCAAATCCTTGCGCATCGCATGCTCTTTTCCACTATCTTGATATCAGTGATAACCACAGGAGTCCAGTAGGTATACTCACACAAATGAAAGTATAAGCCATAACACTGAAATTAATCAATTGACTTGCAGTAACCAAGTTCACAAACCATTGTAAGACTACCGCTGCATTATTTGATACTTGCAAAAAGCTCAATAATGAAATAGCAAGCGTGACCCCAACACAATAAATCGGGACACCTTGCTTCGTACACTTTGTAAGAAATTTAGGAGCTTTCCCTTCAAGCGCAAGACCAAAGAGTGATCTTGAAGCACAATAAACATAAGAATTTCCTGCCGAAAAAGCTGCTCCGAGAACCATGGCATTAACGATATCGGGAAGGATTCTGATTTGAAGTCGGTTCATAGCAACAACATATGGACTTGCCGCTGCACCAGGAAGACCATTTGTAAAGGCATCTTTGAGTTCTTGATCATTATATGGAACCAAGATACCCACGGCTAAACTTCCCAGGACAAAAAATGCTGTGAGGCGGTAGAATACGCCATTGAATGCTCTAGGCATTACAACTCTAGGATTTTGAGCTTCTCCTGCTGCCATTGATACATAATCTGGACCAGCTATGGTAAATGAAGCTTGAATGAGGCATTGTAAGAATCCTAAGAATCGACCAAGAGAACCAGTTTTGTAAAGTTCGGTAAATGCTCCTGGGGTGATCCAAAATCGAAAGCCAAATCGATCATGAAGAGGATTTCCACCAAGCATTGTGATAAAAGTAAAAACAATGAGACCGAAGATTAAGAGGGCTTTTCCCATGGCGAGGTAGAACTCCGATTCTCCATACCATCTGACAGCGAAGACATTGACGAAACTGCAATTTTAGTGGAGTGAGCAAAAGACGGGGTTCTGAAGCAGCATACCCGTAAAGAACTATAATAATGGCAATAATTCCACCAGCAGGAACGGCATCGCTCCAATAATGAATAATCACATTACAAGCTACGATCTCGAATGGAACAAGGGCGGCTTCAAATATGAAGAAATTGTACCCCGCAGCAACTCCAAATGCTTCATCGACATATCGACCAGCGAATCGAATGAATGGCGATGAGATTGGTAAGTAAGTAACCATCTCTGCCATACACTAGAGTAACAATTAGATAACATGAGAAACGTAGGAGGGCCAACGCTCACATTGGTAATCGCCAAAATAAAAGTACACCTATCACACCATCGAGTAAGAGGCTGATAGCAATTTCCCAAAGGTTATTCTGAAGTGTCTGGAAATATGCTGAACATACCAAATTGTGAAAGCCAGAAACAGACTCCCTGGTCCTCCATTTATCAATCCATGACCAATTTGAACGAAAAGAGCAGTTCCAATAGTCCCTCCAATACCAATCAATTGAATATGTCTTGGTCTCAATTGACGATGCGTAGAATCATGAGTTTGTTTGATGGATGTTGTTTCATCTTGATATGGTGGAGAGAAGGAGCCTTCTTCCTCATGCTTCTCTTTCGAATACCCCTCATTTGTAGGTTGTCTACCGGTATATGAAGCAATATTTTCTGTTCGGTGATTAACAGGATATAGTACTTGAACACCAGATGAAGACATATTGGTGGGCGATCGACCGATGACAATGAGAGACGAAAGGAGGATGCTGATAGAAGAAGAAAAAACTACTTTGCTCGTCAATCAGATCTATTCTCAGTGGGGGAAGGATGAACCAGCTGCTGTCAGCTGTAGACCGCCGTAGACCAGTTCGTACCCAGTTCGTACCCCACTAAAATTCTCTGCAACGGGCAAGAGTGAATCCACAGGGGGGGAGATATCCAACCCCCAGGTTTTGTTCGCAGAAGATGGAAGGGTGAAAATACCATACCGGTATGAGATTGATTGTTCGATAATGGGTAAGAAATTCATCTGCCGGTACGCCTTGACTTTGTCTATCATCACCGATTACTCGTACAACAACAGACTGTGGTGTGACCGTTAGATAAGAACTATCATCAGAAGTTACCCATACCCCATACTAATAGATCGGCCTTTCCGTGACCATGGATTGTTTACACAGCATTCGCAACATTCCCTTAGGAAGAAGCGGCTGAGAAAACCTAGTATGAAAGAAGAATAGAAATCGTTCGGCTTGTAGGGGATAGATAATATATATATATACCATAGTCGAATTGTGCATTGCACTCTGTTATTGGCGGTATATGGAAATTAATTTTCACTCGTTATTGAAAAGATGTGGAGCGGTCTCCGGTCGAACGAAGAACAAAACGGCAATACGTCAAAAAGCACAAACTGGAAAATCGACTGGTGGTGACAGATAGATGTATTAATATATTGTATTGATAAAGTGTGTTGGGCAAGAGCAACCCATAGCCACGTACTTTGAGTAACGGAGGAATGTAACGACAAGACGCGTTGTGTACGAGAAGTTGGACTTCAACGCCTTGGTCAATAAAAATTGCCAAGCAAACCATCTGTTGAACCAATCCAGTGCCTGAGCTTCTGCTTCGTTTGCACACTTCATGTCATGGTTATCGGTATGTGTTCGACCAGCAAATCCATGATTTGCACCTTGTTCTTCATTTGGACTATTTGCTTCATCTGATCCATTTAAGGCACTTTCATAGCTGAATTATTGTCTCCAACAGCCACATTTATTGAGATTTTGATTGCTTCGATATCGTCTTGTGCTTCGATATCGTCTGGTACTTCGATGTAAGAAGCATGAGCAGCGAACGCACAGTCTATCAATGGCTCAGGAGCTGGAGACTTGGCTTGCGAATGATGTCTTTGAGCCTGAGATGATAGATCGTCTTGTGCAAGAACAAGAAGTACCGGTATGGTATTTATTTCTCCGCCCCAACAGAATCCCGCGGCACCAATTTTCAGATTGTTGGTTACAAAAGGAGGCTCGGGAGGTTGGAAAATATTGAAAGAAGGAAGCGACTCTGGGATGGGTGAGAGAGATTTTGGTCTTCATCTTCCATGGAATTTCGATACCCATTGCTTTGTAAACGTATATGATTCTGTAAAAGATAATCGTAAGCTGGTTCCATGATCTTATCAAAGACAAATATGGCGCGGGATCCGTCGAATTGCCTATGGAAGAGTCAGAATGGGTATATGAGGCTGGAGATAACAACCCATCCATAGAGTCGGAACAGTAGATTAAAACCTCCCGCTTTTTGCATAACGACCTGCCAATACTTTGTTAATCACGAAATCCCAACCAGAAGCATCGGCAATGATAACAAGTATACCCTTTGATATGACTCCATCTTCTGGTTGTGCAACATATGTGCCAGTTGGAACTGTCTGTGGTGGCGACCCCTCCTCGAAATCAATCCGGGCAAGACATATTTTGAAACTGATTGAAGTGAAGTCAAGAAAGTCCAAAGCTGTGAATTGAAATTGAACTCTTTGTGATAGACTTACAGCGCAGCACGTATGAAAACCTTTCTGCTGAGTGTTGGTAGTCTCTTATCGTGAATTACATCTAGAAGGGTTCAGCATCCTCACGGACGGTATAGCAAACAGTGTAACTCATGGGGAGCGAGCATGAATATCAATTGGACCAGATATAGTTGACCGGATGAAGAAATAATATATGATGGGTATTTGATTGTAAGGTTGTGAGGGGTTGAGTGCGAGAATAGTATTACTGAGGGTGGCTGTATAAACCAACAATTAAGAGAAGGTCGGTTACGCTTAGGTAAGTTACCCTTTACAACTTAACCAATAGTACGGCTCGACCCTTCCGTTCGGATAACCCGGATCATCTATTTGGAAAGCTGGAAGTCAAGTCACCTCGCACTCGATAGCTCAAACATTTCTTGTACAATTAATCACTCTTATTATAATCTTACGTGTACACTGTCCAATACCGTCATTAGACTTATTATTCTTTACTACTTTAACCCCCGTCTTCCCCCCCTTTACCTATTACTCTGTGTGATCCGAGACTTGGCATATTGCTATCCCCATCAACTTGAATCCTCCATCATCCCTACTTCTTTTGGTTCTCCCCGAGTTCTTTTCCTCCACCTTCATGAATATTTCTCACCCTGAAGATGTGCCTGAGGATCCAAGCCAACCACAACAACCTGTTCGTAAACGTCGAAGGACACAACTAGCATGTAATTCATGTCGACAAAGAAAGACGGCATGCAATGGTGACCGTCCTTCATGCTCATCATGTATAAGAAGAGGTGTTCAAGACAGTTGTTCTTACGAAGAAGCAACTGTGGGCTCTAAGGTCTCTATAAATGCCGGGTAGGTTATCCTAAACTCCCCGATCCGTCATAGGGTTTCCCATTATCTATACTGCTGTCCAATGATGGTTCTTGATCCTCCAATCCATATCATATGCTGAACTGGTTTGAGACATGAAATCATTTGAGATGTCGAGAATCTATTCGGTATATCAAATATATTCATTTAAAAGTTTAAGTGCACTCACACTATTAAGGCAGATCCAAAGTTTCCCAGCTTCTTGGACAATGGAGACTTTTCAGATTGGGCACCCAGCTCCAACATTATGATCTCATGTTCAATCAGCTGATTTGCCGACCGTCAATTCAGGAATTCATTGATTATTGGTAGTCCAAAACAGAATGTTCACTTTCGAACTATCAGTCAATCGACCTCATCACCGAGTGAGCGGCCAGCTGCAGGAAATGCACCTTCTCCTGGGAATGTTGGTGGTTTGGCTATGGTATCCGATACAGAGACGCAAGATTCTCTTTATGGATCATCATCAACGATTGCTCTAGTATCTCAAGTTCGACAAGCTGCATCAGATCAACCAGTATCGATCACTGAAACCCATAGGCCACCGATTTATAACCAACCTCGGCCAAAAGTTGATGTTGAAATCCTCCACAATCAAGATTTTGCATATTTCATATTACCTCAACGTCACCAGGCCGATGAATTCTTGAATTGTTATTGGGAATTCGTTCATCCCGTATTCCCTCTTCTAGATATTCAAAGCTTTAACGCCACATATGAGAGATTGTGGTTGTCATCACCGGGAAAAGGGTTAGGTGGAGATCAACTGAGCGAAACAATTTTCCACGCTACTCTCAATCTTGTTTTTGCTTTAGGATGTCAATATAGTAGTGATGTTCTTCCGCACCGAAAATCAAGCTATGCGGATGAACTATATCGGCGATCGAGAAAGCTGCTGAACTTTGAGATACTGGATGCACTGCATTTGTCTTTAGTTCAATTATTCCTACTCACGGGTATTTATTTGCAGTCCACGGATCATGCTAATAGGTGCTGGAATGTGGTTGGATTGGCTATTCGAGCCGCTCAAGGATTGGGTCTTAACACGGAAAATAACACACATAGGAACAGCCAATTGAGTATTGAGATTAGGCGGAGGGTCTGGTATTGTTGTATCTTGCTTGACCGGTTCGTATTTCTGTTCCAGAATCAGTTATTCTAACAGCTAATTGACAAAAAGGTTACTGGCTATGACATTTGGCCGACCTACCATGATAAGATCCGGATCTTGGGACGTTCAGGAACCAGCGATAATCGATGACCAATACCTTTCAACAGATATTCAAGGACTCCAGCCGTTGGAGTTTCATTCTCGGATGTATCTATTTGTCTATTCACTCCGATTGTTCGACATTATGGATGAAATACTTTCAGAGTTCTATGTACTCCAAGGTGGAAAGAGTGGAAGTAATCCTTCCGAGTCTTTTGATCCTTGGTCGGTGCGTGATTTGGCCAGTGTATTGACAATCAATGCGAAACTCGATGACTTCCGCGAGAGTCTTCCTCAAGTTCTCAAAGATGTCAATTCTCTCGTGCTTGGAAACAACTCTTTCGCACCTAACCAACTTCATGTGATGTTACAATCAAAAATTCTACAAAGCAGGTAATAGAATTATTGTTTATCATGCAAATCCCCTTCTCTAATTTCACGTCCCAGGTTCTTGCTCGTTCGCATCTTACTCCTACGACCCGTACTCTTAACATCAGTTTCTAGAGAGAAATCCACTCTACTTGCAAAAGCTGAGCCTGGACTTCAGAAAGACCTTGCAATTGGAGTTTGTACGTTATGTGTGAAAACGGCTCACCTTCTTGTTGAAACTATTCATGAAAATTTAAATACTGAGTATCGCAGCTCAGGATGGCATACTGTTTATTGTAAGTTTTCTATCCAACGTTTCCAATTGTCCGGACCGAATTGGACAGAATGTGTTTGATATATTGAATTCATTTTTTCTACTTCCCAATAGAAACAAAGGAGGTATTAGAAACATGGCATTTTTGGGGGGAAAATGTAATATATTTATAGATTCAAAGCTTTTCCACATCGAATGCTTTCATATCCAATCTTCTTGTCCGGATTATTGGAGGTTTCCTTCCTACTATCCAGTCTCTCCTTTTATTAACGAAACTCAGTTGCATTCGCTGCTGCGACTATCCTTCTCGCGGCGCAATTATCTCCACTGATACAGGCCAGTTTATCTACTGAGCATTCATTCGAAATATCATGGACGTCGTGTATCGAAATATTAGAGCATTACAAAGTTCAGATTCAATCAGCGGAGCGAGCAATAGCGATCTTAGGGGCATTAAAAGATAAGATACAAGCAACAAGACCTCCTAAAGCCGTTACGAACACACCCGGACCCAACGTCACCAAAACTTCAATATACCCCGACCCTTCTATTGCTCCACAATTCATCAATCCCCAAGGACCAATCCCCCCAGACTTTGCCACAATGAATGAAGGACTTTCCGATGGAGGTATTGGCATAGAAAATATCTCAATGTTTGACAATAGCATGCAGACAGATTCAATGAATGATGCATGGTTTACACAACAACTCTCGGATTTGAACTGGTTGGATTATTATCAAGATTCACAGTGAATGAAGCCATGTACGAACGAGACATTCATATAAATAGATAAGCATTAGACATCAATTAGATACATGTATAATTAACATATTTCATCTCAAAACTAATCCAACTCTGAAAGTCTTAGTGTTCTAGGAAGAAATGACATATTTTATCTAGTCTACTCGCCTAGTCCGAGTCTTGAATGACTGAATATCCTGAAAGACTAAGCTCTTTCTTCGTCCAGCCCGACTTTTCATTGTTCCAACATTTCGCCGACGGCCAGATATCCTATCATTTTCATGATTTGGCACGCCTTTTGCACATTCTTTCTAACCTACATCTCGACCCGCCTACTAGGCAAGTCACTCCTCATGAGATCGAAAATTGTCCCCCTCTCCCCTTTCGTCTTAGCGACATACGACGCCAAGAAAAACTGGCCCCTCCTTAAAGTATCAGTCAATTCACCACATTTACTGTATGAGTTTGAGATAATTAACACAATGTGTTTTACACAACGGACGTGAGGTATACAGGTAATCTTCATGATGGAGATACTTCTAAAGGAGGTATGTCTTGGCCGAGAACATCTTTACTATGACCGTTTGAAATAAATTAGATACATTACGAGCACTGGTATGTGATGACTGGCGATTGAAACTTTTGAGAGAACGTTTCAAAAACTGAATCACCACTCTACGCTCTTGTTCAGTGTGACTTGGCTAACAGATGAGCGGCGTAAGTAAAGACGAATCTTGCTTCATCACAGGATGTGATAAGAGACGAAGTTGAGGATGTAGCCCGTAAGTGCAGAAGCTAGAATGGAGTCCGGCAAACCACCGCAGTACATAAACATATAACCCAGAGCAGGATTCCTCTACTCTTGTTAATTTAGAAGCAAACCGGCAGATAAAAAACGCTCAACCTTGTTTGAATAACCAGCTGATAGTGCGTTATATTTCAATCATAGCGGCGTGCCTTAAGTCAATCACTCATGTGATATCAAAAGTCAATGATACAACAAACTTCCCCTTAAACTAATATGACCCAGTCACTTGCCCTCGCCAATCAGTCACGATATCTGTCCTACTAAAATTAGAACTTCTCCTGGATTAACTCACCCAAGCGAAATGCACACTTACTCCCTCATCTTCAACATGGCCTTCCTGATCTATTTTTGCACGAGGCCCTTGAACCTCCAAAAGCCTCTCCAGTTGCGCAAAGCTCATTCTCTTCTCAAACGATGTTTTCATCTCTTCGTCTGACGCCCCTGATGCTTTATCTGGTATCAAAGTATTTCATTAGCTAATCGTCCCTCGGATTCTCATTTGAACCTGCCAACGCTTTAAGACGATTCACCTAATGCCTTTTGAAATTCAATTCCATCACGATTCGCTTTCTCGACCGCTTGTTCAATTCTTCTCGCTTCGTTGGCTTTGGCCTCTTTACTTTCTCGAATTCTTTCGGCTTTCTCGATTTCTTTGGCTCTGCTGACTCTTCTGGCTTCTCTCGCTTCTTTACTGTCTGGATTTTTGGAGTTTTGCTCTGCTAATACACCTGCCTCGTAACCCTTCTTGAAAGCAGCCGAATACTGGAAAGAGATCTTCTGTACTTTAGCATCTCGCTCCGCTGCTTGACCAGCCTCGTAACCTTCATCGTAAGGGTTTGGATCTTTAGGTTTGGGTGGGGGAGAAGACATTGTATTTCGAAGGTGAGTGGGTCGTGGATTCGGATGTAATTAAACCTGGTGCTGTTGTTCGAAGAGGGAATTCTGCGTCAACGGGTGTGATGACCTCGCGAATCAATTGTTGCTGAAACATCTGCTGTGTTGGATTGTAGAGAGGATCAAAGACCGGAATTCTTTTATAATGAGTTAGATTGTTTGTGGAAAAGCAAACCATCACACTGGAAAGCAAACATGCACCCTAGCAGTGATACTGAATATTCACTGGTGGCGTGGTTCACCCTTCGAAAGAGGAGAAAGCCGAAAAGGAGTGGTTTGGTGCCGCAATCGGTGAATGGATAGCCCCGCCGGCTGGGTGCCTACATTTGCCTACTGTATGAGTTCCTTTTGCGGTAGCCTTCTGAGTTTGCTTATAGGCATAGTAAAAGCATACATGATTTACAAGAAGTACAAACAAAATTTCGACAAAACGTTACGTCTTGTATAGCCCCCTCACCGAGCAACTCAAAGTCGGGCTCTCAACATACGATTTCTTGGGACATTGAGGTTGAAAATACCTATTTGCACTATGCTACCAGCATACAATAACAACTGCCACAAGTTAGTAAGACATATTACAATATTCAAGCGTCCGTCCCATTTCCTTCAAAGCTGACTTAATAACTTCCCCACAAAGCTCTTCATATCCTCAACTTTTACATCCTCCTTAACACCCAATCTTCTGCACTGAACTTCACATAGACCCTCCTTCCATTTCCTTCCTAGCAAAACAATGACCGGATAACCAATCAAATCCGCGTCTCTCAACTTCCAAGCAATAGATACTTCTCGATCATCAACCACTGGATCCATTTTAGCAGCAGAAAGTGTATCGAATATCTGCAATGCATCTTCACCCAACCCTTTCCCTGGAACTACAACAATTTCGAAAGGAGCCATAACTCTAGGCCAATTCAACCCCTTTTCATCTGCCAAAGTTTCTGCCACAGCTCCAATCATTCTCGTTACACCAATGCCATGACATCCCATTTCCATTGGAACCTGAACCTGACTATTTTCTCCTGATTTGGGAGCATTAGACTTATTTTCCACAAGTCCAAAAGGTACAGTAACAGTTGCTTCCATCGGTTTACTGTATCGTGTACCCAAGTGAAAAGTATGACCAAGTTCAATAGCTTTTTGAACATTTAATGTCGGTTCTTGACATTTAGGACAAACATCTCCCTCCGTAATTCTTCGCAAATTCAATGCTCCTCCAGTAGATGGATCTTGGGACATAAATGATGTATCCTCAATCTCTGATAACCAATCATCTCGTGAGCTACCCTTGGCTTTATCAAGTGCAGAGAACCTATCCTTCACGATCTCCTGGGAAATCTTAGGAGGAACTTTTCCATCAATTAGGTGGACAACACGAGTGATATACGGCTGGTCTGATTCATCGAGGAATTTATGCGCAAGTCCAGAATCTTGGTTAACAAGTTGCATTAACTCCAGATACTCCACTTTTCTGGAAGGATCATATTCTGGCAGAAGCTTTTTGATTAAACGTGTGTTCAACTCATGTTTCTCTCCATTCTCAGAATAAAACCAATTGGCAAAGAGGGTAAGTCTATCACGAGAAAAGCCTGCAATAACACTCGCGTTTCCTATATTAACAATGTCCGAATCATCAATTTCATTTACTTCCTGAACTCCAGTTTCTGCCAACTCTTCATTTGCCACATAGTCGCATTTGGTACAGCTGATGATATTATCTTCTCCAACTTTCGTCGGAAAGTGAAATTCATGACTGAGGTCACCGCCTATGTCTCCAGAATCGGCTTCGGCCACAAGATATGGGATGTTGAGTTCATCGAAGAGATTTCTATATGCTTTGCGAACATCGTCGTAAGCTGAAAGTGCGGAGCTATTATTATAGTCGAATGTGTAAAGATCTTTCATAACGAATTCTCTGGAACGAAGAAGGCCTTGCCTTGGTCGTAACTCATCACGATATTTTCGAGCTAAAGAGGAATGAGCAAAGGATATGAAGGATGGCAGGATAGAACAAACTGATTTGATACAAACGAACAGGAAGTTCTTTGTAGGAATGGATCGAGTTCGAAACCAGTTCTGTGATTTCTTCCTCATGGGTTGGGGCAAGAAGGTATCCCGCCTCTTTTCGGTCTTTCAAACGAAAAAGCTAATGATGAGTGTTACAACCACGATGACAGGGTACTTGGATAGGAAAATACCTCAGAACTGGCATTCAGTCGGCCACTTTTAGCCCATAGTTCTTCAGATGATAAGGACGACAAAGCAAGCTTCGATGCTCCTTCAAAAGGATCAGCAATAATGGTCGAAAGGGAAGTCGGGATGGACGAGAAAAACACTGCTCACCCAATGTTGACATATGCTTATCGATGAGTGCCTCCAGTTTATCTTGTACTCTTCTTCCTAGTGGTAACATATGAAATATACCTGTATGAGCCTAGCCATACTGTGTGAGATTATGTTTATTAATCAAACGGTATTGCAACAAACCTGACGCAAGAAACCCCCTCGAATGAGTTTTGCATGAGAATCTATCCCGCATTAGTCTATGAAGCTTTGGTTGACCTGCTCAGAAATGTATCACCTTCATCTGCGCTTGCAGCTATACCGCCTGTGGGTATCCAAAACTTGGACAATCGTGCTCTATTATCATTCTATCATACACATCAATCAGTACTCCATCCACGTGCCCTTCAAACAGCTCAGTGTTGGTTGAACCTACAATTGTAGAAAGATTTGATTGATTTCGAGAATATGAGAACTTGAGAAGCCGTGATGGAAGTATCATACACCGGCATAAGCTATTGGGGTGTGTAGACGATCCTCCAAGCCGCGAAATACTTCGAAATGAATGCATCTTGGATACTAAAACAGGTTCGAGTGAAGTAATCTGACTGGAAAAATAACAAATCCTATAAATTCATTTTTATCTTGTTAATAACAAAATTACTTTTTTCATCTAACATTGCTCATCAATTGGATTGGACATAAATTTAAGTGACAGAACAGATGAAAACTTACAATCTGAGAGAAGAGGGGGAGAGAACTTGCTGATGTCGGGAAAACTTTGTTCCGATTGATTTTACTTTGGAAAAAAAAGTTTGTTATCTTATCGAAAGCTTCAATGTTCCATGAACAATTCCTTCTCTGATTTTATTTTTCATTTTCCAATTTTCAAGGAACACAATTGACCTTTCAATCCTTTTATCATTGAACTTCTTGAGAAAGGTAATTCAACATGGGGAAACATCGCAAACTCACCAAAGAGTCAGCTTCAGGATTAGAAGCCAGTGAAAAGGAAGATGCTCTTCTTAAAGTGCTAGCTGCGGTCAAAGTCAAGGAGTCTTCAAAAGATCAAAATCGCCTGGTTAGTACCCCCTTCTCTCTCTTTTGAGTCCACTGACCGATTCTAGATTTTTGAAGCCCGAGCAGATTGGCACGCCGTAGAACTTCCCAGCCTTCCTTCGGGAGATTTCAGCGAGGCGAGACCATACCAAAATTCGATCAAAGATTTCCAAGAATATGCCAAAACCCTTCTCGAAGCAGATAGTACTCTGTATGCCTCAAAACATCTTTCTGCGACTTCTTCACATCGATTTCTTGCCACGATTATGTCCTCTGGTACATTATCTGATAAGATTTCCGCCTTGACTTTGGTTGTTCAAGAATCGCCAGTTCATACTACAAGATCATTCGAGAGTTTATTGGATTTGGCAAAGAAGCGAAGTAGAGGACAAGCTGTGACAGCGTTAGGAGCTATGAAGGATTTACTGGGAGCTGGTGTTATGCTTCCTTCGGATAGACGTCTTCGAACATTTGTTTCTCAACCTGGACTTCTCGGCACATTGCAGGAAAGCACTACTGGCGTCTGGAAATCTGGAGACCCCTTACCAGGAAATATAACCAAAGCACATCTTATTGCATGGGCATTTGAAGATTGGCTCAAGGAGGTATATTTTGATATGCTCAAGATTCTGGAAGTGTGGTGCAACGATGAGGTCGAATACGCTCGTACGAGGGCCGTTACCTATGTCTATGAGCTGCTGAAGGATAAGCCAGAACAGGAATCAAATTTACTCCGGTTATTGGTCAACAAACTCGGCGATCCAGATAAAAAGATTGCTTCTCGAGCATCATATCTTCTCTTACAACTACAAACTTCTCACCCGTTGATGAAACCGATCATTGTCGACTCGATCGAAAATGAGCTTATATTACGACCCGGACAAAGTTCACATGCCAAATATTACGCCATTAATACTCTCAACCAAACAATTTTGAGCTCAAAAGAGGAGGAGGTTGCGAAAAAGCTTCTAAGCATATACTTTGGTCTTTTTGTATCCCTTCTTAAGAAGCCCGAAGTTATCAAAATTACAGGTCCTAAACTTAACAAGAAAGGAGAACTCCAAGGAGGTGGTGCTGCTATGGGAAAGAAAGCCCAAGAAAAGTTAACAACAGAAGAAGAAGCAAAGCTGGCAAGTGAAGAGACAACAGAGAAGATGATCTCCGCTGTTTTGACCGGTGTCAATCGTGCATTCCCTTTCACAAAGACTGATGACTTGACGTAAGTTGAACACGTTTATTAGCTATGGAAAACGCTAACTAGATATAGCCTTGAGACACACATGAATACCTTGTTCCGAATCACACATTCATCCAACTTTAACACCAGTATTCAGGCTTTGATGTTGATTGAGCAATTGTCAACAACAAAACATCTTGCCGTGGACCGATTCTACAGAACTCTCTATGAATCTTTACTCGATCCTCGCCTGGTCACATCTTCGAAGCATGCACTATATCTCAACTTACTTTACAGAGCTTTGAAAGCAGATGTCAATATCAAGCGTGTCAAGGCATTTGCGAAGAGAATGTTACAAATTGTGACACTTCACCAACCCCCCTTCATCTGTGGTATCATCTATTTGATGAGGGAATTAGAAGTCACGTTCCCTGGACTGAAAACTCTTCTCAATAATCCTGAAGCAAACGATGATGAAGAAGAAGAAGTATTTCGAGATGTTCCAGAAGATGGAGAGACTGCAGAAATACAAGCCACCGAGACCCCATCGAAACCTAGGTCAGATACATATGATGGCAAAAAGAGAGATCCAGAGTACAGTAATGCTGACAAGAGTTGTCTATGGGAAACTGTAAGTTGACATCCTTCCACTAAGATATTTCCGCTAATAAGCATAGATTCCTTTCTTGGTACATTTTCATCCCTCCGTTTCTCTATTTGCCGATCGCCTTCTCAAAGACGAAAAGATGCCACCTAAACCCGATCTTGCTTCCCACTCCTTAACCAACTTCTTAGATCGCTTTGTCTACAGGAATGCAAAAGCGGCAGCTGGAGCCCCAAAGGGAAGCTCCCTTATGCAACCTCTTGCTGGTGGTGCAAGTCAAGGCATCCTTGTATCCAATCGTGGTACCAAAGTTCAACAATCCGTCAATTCAGAAGCTTTCTGGAGAAAGAAGGCAGAGGATGTTGCAGTCGATGAAGTCTTCTTCCATAAATACTTCAACCAAATTGGTAAGGGTAGAGAGGCATCTAAGAAGAAGGAGAGTAAGAAGGGCGAAGATGGAGAAGAAGATGAGGATGAAGCTGAGGATGAGATTTGGCAAGCTTTGGTTGAAAGTAAGCCAGATATCGAGGGTGGAGAGTCTGACGATGATGATTTGGAGATGGATGACTTGGATATGTCTGAGGACGAATCTGAAGGTGGTGTTGATATTGAGGGATCGGATGAAGAAGTCAACATCGAAGGAGAAGACGAGGACGAGGATATGCCAGATGCAGAGGAAGATGATGGGGAAGGAATATTCTCAGAGGAGGATGATGACCTCAAGGACAGCGACGATGAAGCAGGATCCGATATGGATGCATTGTTTGAAGCCGAATTACAGAGAGCAACGGTTCCAGAGAAGGAAGATGAGAAGAAAGAGACTAGTAGAAGTAAGAAGAGGAAGCTTAAGCATCTTCCTACATTCGCAAGCGCTGAGGATTATGCGGCCATGTTGGATAATGATGGAGGTGAAGGTGAGGATATGGGAATGGGAAGGAGCAAATAGGGGAGTAATGTTGGAATGGGAAGCAAAGGAAGATAAAACGTGTGTGTAATACTGCGATAAGAGCTGTGTAAAGATATTACCGGTGGTCAGTATGAATATGTTTGAGTAAATTAAAGCAGTTATACCCTATTTTAAAATATGCGATTTGAAAAGGCGTGATGATAGATTGATTGAAAAAAATTGGTCTCAAATGCTACTGTTTTAATTCCCCTTTCATAAGCCCATAAGATCCTTTTCCTAAATTCACCACCATCCTTAATCCCCAAAATGTGCTAATATCATTCATTCACTTCCCAATCTACTCATCAAACCATGTCAATTCATCACTCTCTCTAAAAATCGCCCTAAACATCTTTCCCTCCTCACCTCCAACATCCGTCTCCTCCATGTGTATACAATGAAGTTTCGCGGTATCAGAATCGCCTACAATGAAAGCACGGAACATGAAGTATTTGTCCTCGGTTCCAGGTAGGAGAACTTTGCCTAGGAGGTGGAGACCATATGCGCTAGTAGCGACGCGGACGGATTTCAAGGAGGAGGAATCGAAGGAGGTCAGGGTGTGGTCTGAAAGATGGGAGATGGGGGCGAAGTATTGAGGCTCGTGTTCTAGGATGGGAGATTAGTTTTGAAGGGGGGGTGAGGGGGTAGGGATGGGATTAGGGATTGGGGGATATGGGAATAGGGGATTATGGAAGAAGGGTAAGACAAACTGTTGGTTTCATGGCGGAGATGTTGAAGTTTCTTCTTGAGTTCGGTTCCGATCTTATTGAAAGCAATGATACTATCTTCTTTTGGTGCATGAATGGGGCCGAGTTGGACGGTCTCTGCGGTTGCCATGATAAATGGTTGAACGAGTTTGACTTGATGATTTCGGGTTTGGATTGATGAATTTTCTTTGTACGAGATAGCGGGAGATATTTGAGAGTTAGAGTGCAGGTCAAACTGATAGTGATATAAGGCTATAGTGAATATTTCAAGATGGAAAGTTCAATTTGAGGGAAAGAAGGGTCTCTTCTTAAATACTGGTTTGAGGTCAAACAGGGGCAATTGGAGCTGCATAAAAAATGAGGGGCTATGGGTGCTGATCTTTATGCATCACTTAAAACAGGTGTTGGCCTACACATGATGGGTATGATTGGGCGATAATTGGCTGAGTGAAATGGGATGCACAGCACCAACTACTCGAAGTTGACAAGCAGGATGACGTTGTCAAGTGTAGATAATAATGATCGAACCACAACCTACATTTAGAAGGATAAATAGATCTTTAGGGCTTCAGATGTATTGAGTTTGAATTTCAATTCACATTAAAAGCAGGTACGAAGCATATCTGTACATAACCTTACCGGTAACATGTTATTTAGCTTGATGAGTTTGAAGTTAAGCATAACACCCAAGATAAGATAAGATTTCGGCAGAACATATGGCCGAATTCAATGGGCCGGTTCGGCATCCATTACACTACAATATTCCCTCTAGACATCAGATAAGTACCTATATACCGGTAACTAATGAAATGCTTTGAATGTTGGCGTTTGGTATAGATATTTTACTTGTATCTTCTCACTCTACTTTTATATCAGTTATGCAAAGATCGTAGCTTATATAGATAGCCCACTTCGAGATGTCTTTCTCTCGTCAAATTTTACAGCCTCGAGCTGGTATATACAGAGCTTTAACTCGCAATTTCGGACACGCACAATCTCAAGGAGCAGCTCTTAAGAATTCGACTCTATCAACTTATTCTCGGAAGTTCACTGTAGCCCGCCGATTGTGTCATGTTGAGAGCAAGTCCTGTCGTGTTGTCTCTCTAGAAGCTGTAGCTAACTTAACACAGCTATCATTCCTCCACCTCCGCCTTCACGACCTTCCCTTTTCTTACGAACTCTCACTTTCTTTGGAATAGCCATTGTCTTCACATCTGTAGGCTTCTCCATAGCTGCCTACCCAGCCTTTACAGCCGCCAATGCCATCCTCAATCCGCCATCAGATGAAGAATCCCTCAGATTATACACACCAACTGATGCGAAATCCCTCGAAGTCGAAGCCTATATCAATAATCATCCGGTAGTGAAAGACCTACGATCTCGACCTGAGTTTACTGAATCAAGGCCACATATGAAGATCCCCGAATCACAACGAGGACATAATCTCACAGGTGGAACTTTAATGGGACCGGGTCGTGTTGTGGTACCACCATATGTATGGACTGAGGCAGGCGGTAAATCTCTTGTATCCATCTCTTTCCTAGGAGAAGATCTTTGCGGACACCCGAAGATTGTACATGGAGGATTTCTGGCAACGATGTTAGATGAGGGATTAGCGAGATGTTGTTTTGGAGCATTGCCGAATAAGATCGGTATGACAGCTTCTTTGACGGTCAATTATAGAGCGCCTACGCCTGCAGAGATATTTGTGGTGTTGAGAGCGACCACCACGAAGGTGGAGGGTAGAAAGGCTTGGGTCGAGGGAAGAATTGAGACTTTAGTACCTGAGGGAAAGACACCAAAGGTTCTTTGCGAGGCGAATGCGTTGTTCATTGAGCCTAGACAAGCCAAGGTGAGTTTGCAGATTTATGATAGTCTTGTAATTGATGCTAACCAATTCATAGGCAATGGCTAGAATATACCCAGTTTCATAAGATGTTATAGGGGCAGCATCTCCAATTGAGAATATACACCATGAAAGCTATCAGATGCAGATGGCGGGTTCACATGCAGAGTTTCAGACAATACTTCATATATGATTAGATAGAAAGTCCAGTATCTAGAATCACTTGTAGGTCACTCGTATAGAACATAATTCCATCACCCGACCCATCCTATTACAATTTGAGAACCTCCAACCAAGATACCACACCTATCCCTTCAATCTCCCCCCTGAATCTACTCGAGAGATAACGAGCACGTGATCATAATGCCCCACCATCCAGAAACTTCTTAATTTTGTACCTGTAGTGCGGGGCAGAATTTTATAGTGCACCGGTAGCGGGTTAAGGGGAGACACACTTAGCTTGTTAACGACGACGATCCATTGATTTCGATTGCGTGATTATTTTCCCTTTCTTCTTTAATTCTTTACATCTCACGACCTTCTCTAAAACTACCCCCAATTATCCTATACAAATCGTCAAGATGTCTACGTATGTTCTCCCTTTCTGCGTTCAATGTCTAATTACCATATCTCTCTTGAGGTGAAATAAGACGTAAGATAAATAAAATACCGGTACTAACATGAAATCCCCAGAAACATTACATGGCACCCCTCCCTCACCCGCGCCGAGCGCAACAGTCTCCGCAAACAACGCGGCATTACAATCTGGTTCACCGGACTCTCCGCCTCGGGAAAATCCACCATTGCTATAGCACTCGAACAGCATCTCCTCCACCTTGGGCATGCTGCCTACCGTTTAGATGGCGACAATGTCCGTTTCGGCCTCAATAAGGACCTTGGGTTTGACGAAAAGTCCCGCAACGAGAACATTCGCCGTATTGCCGAAGTCGCAAAATTATTCGCAGATAGCTGTACGATTACATTGACATCATTTATTTCGCCATATAAAGCAGATCGTGCTGTTGCGCGGGAGTTGCATGAGAAGGCTACGAATGGGGATGACGCGATCCCGTTTATTGAGGTGTTCATTGATATCCCGGTTGAGGAGGCAGAGAAGAGAGATCCTAAGGGATTGTATAAGAAGGCCAGAGCCGGAGAGATTAAGGATTTCACTGGAATTAGTGCGCCATACGAGGAGCCTGAGAAGGCCGAGATTCACTTGAGGACGGATAAGTTGAGTGTAGAGGAGTGTGTGCAGCAAATCGTGGATTACTTGGAGAAGGAAGGTCTGTTGAAGTTGTAGATGTAGATATTTTGGGTCATAGAATCTCGGGCGATTGACAGGGATAATGGATAATGTCATCAAAAGTGCTAGATATGATTAATTCGACTTTGAACGATTTGAAAACAATTCCTTTGTTGATATCTCTTAATACGATTCAATGATTTAAATGCATGCTTCAATGTATATGAACCCTTTTGCCATGCGCCAACTTCCACTTGCCATATTCATGACAGTCCCCAGTACTATCTATATGATTTCGAATTCGTAATAGACATAGGCCGTATATTCATTGCCTTCTTGTCCGCCAACTCCTGCTGCAGCTATCTCTGATGATAATGCCGAGTCATCTTTGAGAGCCTTTCCTTTCTTATCTCGACCGAAGGCATTACCTCCGAGGTAACCATATGTTGTATCGAGAGCCGCTTTCGCCTTCTTTGCTCCTTTAGGGCTTGACTGGGATGTATTAGTAAATCTTTAAAATACTCGATTCTAGCATTCATACCTTGACCAGACCACAGACGAAATCCAGGGGTAATCCATATCTCAGGACTGTCTCAACAAATACCCTCAAAGTTAAGACATGTATCCAAATCATAACAGCTTCACTCCAACCAGTTCTACTGAGTCTCAAAGCTTCACCCCATACCTTACGCTCATCCTTACCTACTCGTTCAGCCTCTTTTCTTTCCTCCTCCTTTCCACCCTCTACGTACTTGTAATCACGAGGAGTCCATTTATTTTCCCTACATTTAAGTTGGAACTCTGCGCTATGCTTTTTAAAAGTTGTGACTGCGAATAATGTGAATTCGTCATCGTGGGTGACTTCAACTGAGGATCGTGGGACAACCATAGGCGATATGGTTTCATAAGTCTTGAGAAAGTCCTTTTTGACATTTGTTGGAACAACAACCAGGTGAGTTTCGAGGTATTCGGAGTCTTGTACGAGTAATTTGGGATCGACGACTGGAGTGAGGGATTTCGTAGAGAGGTTTCCACTTCGCATGGTTAGCTTTTGGTCATCTGTCCAGATTTCAAGCTCTTACGTTTGTTTCCGCTGTAAAGTTGTAAGATTCGTCTTAACCTGATTGTACTGGTTCATTTTACCCTTAACATCATTATCGATACTGACAAGTTCCTACATTCCGTCAGCGATACTTCGCCCTCTCTGTAAAACCATGCCAACCTTTTGTAATGAATCGATTAACTCTGCGAGTGGTTTGTCGGCACGATATTTGACTTTGTTCCATGAGAAAGTACGTAGGTATTGATCCGCGGGTTCTATAGGCAGACTATTAACCAATGACCATGACCACGAGCTCACAGATCAGCAGACTTACTATCATTTACAGTCTTCTGCTGTGCAATCTTGCTCTCATCTCCTTCCAATAAATTACGGAGAGATTCCCCAACTTTTGCTACAACACCTTGGCAAGTGCCGTCTAACTTTGCAAGATCATCTGCTTGCCCAACCAATGCATCCAGTGTACCGATCTTGAACTCAGGGATCTTGAATGGTATAGTAGTTCCATTATCGTTGGAAATTGTAGACCGTAAAGCTGTTAAAGCTTCATCTTGATCGCTGGATTGGGAAATAGATGTTGGTAGAGATACCAGCATGTATTTCGTAGGGCCAGACATGGCTGGAGCTTCTGGTAAATTGCTGACCAATAGGAGTGATGCGGTTTGACAGTGTGAAATGGAGAGAGGCCAGGTTGCGCTCCAGATGATAATTACGAATGTAATACTTCGTCGCCGTTGTGGAATTTCTTGGGTTGTTGTAGGAAGCCCTTTGTGCTGGGGATTTGGGAGCTTCGAGCTTGCTGGGATTGAGGAGGGGCCGTGCACGATAAACCAGGGAGCTGCGAACAACTTCACCTCACCTCATGCTTCACATCAAGGTCAATCTTCACTTGAATTTATTGAATGATATTACTGACTTGAACTATCCAGTATCATTGGCACTCTATACCTCATCATGTCTGTCGTCTTGTTTTGGAGCTAAAGGAATCCTAAAATTCACCATTTTCCCAGCCCTCTTCCCCTTTCCACCTCTCAAATAGTGCCATCGAGTAGGCGAAAGTCCATAGCCAATTTCTGGAACAATCCTTCGTGTCACAGCTTGCTTCTGTTGTTTGGCATGTAGTAGTCATGTTTCTCGATAAAGTCATAACCGTTGAGCAGCTTGCTCCTCTCTTGATGATTAGATCTCCAAAAATGTCGAGAGAAGTTTCCTCGATGAATAGGAGTACCTGAATCTATCTTTATTGCTTTCACTTTGCCACGCTTGAAGCTTGTAGTAGTGCTAGAGAATTCACCCTCTTGCATCGATACATCTTGAAGCCAGCATTGAAGAATTAATTTTTTTGGATATGGTGGCTGTCAAAGATTTGTGTAGTTTGCGTTGCTGAATAGAAGGAAGCTCGAAGCCCACTGCCGAACTCAATGGCTATCCACAAAGAATGATGAATACGTGGACTCATTATCCCCATTCCTATTCCTCGGCTACTTCATGCTGTATCTAGTGATACTTAGGATCCTTATTGTGATGGCTCGGCTATACTGAAAGGAAGGCCAATCCCTGAAGTGAGGCTGATTGCCCCCCCTTATTGCCTAGCTTGTAGCAGCACCGAGATTCCTCTGGATAGTACGAGCTGTTTAGAACAACCTAACATCATTGTTGATCGAACAAACACCAACGTTCACTAATAGAGTGGCCAATCTCAATCTGTTATGCATGTTCATAAGTAGGTCATCCACCTATATCATAAATGCCTCCGTGGCCGAGAACGAAATCATGATGGCCCGCCATCCTATTCTATCTCTTATGTCGGACTTCCGAAGGAGAACGCGTCCGCCTAGCTCGGCTACACCATCGATTGTGCGCCTCTTAAGGTCATCGGATAAACTCCAAAAGTCTTGACCGTCAAGATATGAATGTCACTTATTTGCTTTCTTTCGCGTAACTAGCATGATGGTCGATCTTTCCGCCGATCTTGAAATTTGCAGGAGATATAAAGAGGTTTCCGAATCGATATGGACCGCGGATCAAAGATGTGATTAGCCTACTGGGGGTAGGTGTCAGTAAATATATCGATTATGATAGAGGTACCGTGCAAAATAGTAGACAAACGAAAGGTTGAGAAAGCAGCTGCTTTTGTGGGGAATTTTGGAGGATCAAAACGGCGGCTAGCTGCTTGAAATTCTGATCTTACTTATTCAGAGAACGAATGCAGTTCAAAAATCAGTTTGATAGTCGCCAGTGCCATCGTCGTCGTCGCTTTGTGTTGTTGTTGTTGTCGTGATCCCAATGTTGGAGATTTTTCCTATCGATGAAGGGCCTATCGGTAGGTAAAGTTTTCTTAAGAGAAGGAGATGCTATCTAATAGCGTTAAATAATTAAGTTTAGTGATGGTGAAGGGGACTTTCTTGGTAGCTGAGCTATGGGGAAACGTCTAGTCCAAGAGACAACGGTAGTTTCGCCTTTCAAACTTTCTTTTGAAGCAGAACTACCTAACCAGCTCGAAGTCAAGTCGCATGAGAATACATACTATGTAATGTTTGTTGACCTGCTCTAGCTCCAAGGGAGCAAGGTATAGTCAAAACTCCTTGAGGTAATCTCACATACTGTATTAGCGTGTAAATATATAGGGCTGATGACGTCTAATAATCATCCACATTTAATCGTACCTAATGAACTTGAAGTCAGTCCATATATATATAGATTGTATGCATCGTCGACTTCACGCTCCTAAGCCAACGATCAACGGTTCGGGAACCAACAGCGTGTTCATAATATCGAGCCTTATACCTTTGATATCCAGAGGAGACGATACGGCAATGTGTTTCCACATCAACCATCTATGCTCTTCAATTGGAGCATCTACTCGACCAAGTACGGTCAGTACGGTATGTTCTGTACAGCAGAAGATCAAATCCTCCAATCTCATCGTCTTGGGAACTTTGGAACTTATAGCTTATTTTGCTACGGCTTCCCATCAAAGTTATTTAAGTCCTCCTCCCCCTTGATCCTCTTCTGAATTTCCTTCAACACAACACTTCATAAAAGTAAATTCATCATAAGACAACTACAATTTCTAATTTCAACCACCATACTTTTACAAGTCACAACACAGTTGATAACTCCAATCAATCATCGATCATCATATTTATTGATTGTCTTTTCCTACAACAAGCTCTCTCTGCACTTTCACTACAAGTTCATAGAGCTAACGACATCTTATTCTTATTCTATTTACTTTGTCTAGACAGGCAATACCCACCCCTTCGTTCATCTATTTCTTTAATACAAACACACTCAAACCTAACACATCCTTACATCAACAAAATGGGTTTGACAAAAGTTATCCGTTCCGTTGCTGGCGTTCTCTCCTCCAAGAACAATAAGGTCCCGAATCAGAAGGACACCAGAAAGTCTAAGAAACTCACGAAGAGCCAGCGTCCTACCAAGACCTCCAACACGACGAAGACTACGAAGGCCAGGGACTTGGTTGGTTTCTTTACTGGCAGCCGATCCAAGAAACATGCCGCGGGTAAGTCACCGAGAATTATGAATTCTATCTGAAAGCCAAAATGCTGACATAAATTCAACAGGCTCAGATCGAACACTCGTTGGCTCTTCCAATCCTTCATCTGCAGGAGAGCTCACATTCGAGACATCTGTACAAGTCCCAGAGCACGCTGACTCCGACTACGGGGTCAATAATAATGATGCTGATATCACTGGTCCATCATTTACGGATACAGTGTTGCCAATCCTGATGGCAATTTCGATTGGTAAGTTGCTCTCCTATGCGTTCCATTTGATCAAGGACTGATATCGACGTGCCAGATGTGAATCAGATAATCGTCGAAGATACAGCTCCTTCCTCGACACAAGACAATGCTCCACTCGAAGCCATCGTCGACATCAACGAGTCGAACAGCGGTAGTGAGCAGGCTGTCGAAGACGTGCAGACCTCTCACAACACGACAGTCCTTGACAACAATGATGCTGATGAATCTGAAGGTAAGTCATTCACATTATTCGCCTCTTATGAGAAACTAAATGCTGATACTGAATCAACAGATGAAGCTCAAATAACATGTTATGCTTCAGTCACTTGGTGGACAGAGCATCTTACTCTTGAAACTGTCGAGGTAACCGAACCAATCGGAACCAACCCAACCCCTCAAGAACCGACCCCAGAGAATTTCGCACCCATAATGATTCCTGCGGGTGGCAACAAGCAAACCTCGGAAAAAGTTGGCGCTGGGTCAGTATCGGACGACGGATCAATTATTGAGGATCCATCAGCACCTGAGAATGAACCTAAGTTCTCGAATGAGCTGGACACTCCAGACGTCACTGCTCAGGAGACAGAGCAACCCTTATCACCTGAGGAAATAGTCGAAGAGATCCTCCGCACAGAGGTAATTCCACATTACCATCAAGCTAGACCATTTCTTCCTCCTGGTATCTCCATTCCTTGGGGACCATACAACCCTGTCCCGATTCGATTGGGAGATTTCACAGCTAATGATCCGTTTATTCTAACCGAAAGCTCTGATCCAGTTGAGTACAGCAAACTCAATGGAATTCAGAGACGTTGGGGTATGCTAGAAGAAGCTCACCAGGAGCGAATTTTCTACATCTGCCAGTACAACATCGCCTTGAATCACCATGAGCAGCAGCCAGAACATGTGATCTATGGGTTCGACAACTTCTGTAGTTACTTCGGTTGCAAGGAATCAACTTGCAGACATTCTCGACCAGCAGCAGGCGTTTGGATGTGCCCTGGTCTGGCTAATGTCGTACCTGAGTTGCACGACCTTCGAGCTGAAGAAATGAAGCTTGTTAGAGAGAACGCTGACCGAAAAGCTGCTGAGCTGCATGCTCTCAATACTCAAATGGAGAGGTTGAAACGTCTTGAAGCTCAGGTTCAAGCAACGGCGGCTGAGCGTAAAGCGGATGGTGCTGCAGAACTCAAAAAGGCGCTTGCTCGTACCACATCTCTAGAAACTGGGACAGCGCTTCAAGCTCACGATGCAGTATCTGATGCTCCTGCCAAGCCGGATCAAAAGGTTGACTTCGGTCTAAAGGAAATTGATCTAATTGTCGAACCGAAGGTATCTCGATTCTCAAAATTCTTCCAGCCACAGAAGGAAGAAGAGACCATTGAGCAAGTCGATCCCCGGGACTCAACTCCGGACAGTGACGAGCCCAAGGGAGAGAATGATACTTCTGCTGGTAGTGGAGAAGATGAGAAATCCACACCAGACACTAGCATCGAGGGTCCACAAGCAGTCCCAGCACAAGAGGCAGCTTCCCAAAGTGAAGTTACATCTCAACATGAACCGGGTAATGATGTGTACGCTGCCACTTCTCCCGGGTTTTCAGACGTTTCCGCAAATCAGGATGATCTATCTGTGTACGATGTCGAGGATTCAAGGGAATTTGACGAGGACAGAATTTTGATACTTGGGCGTATCGAAGGTCCCGTTGAGTCATATGGCGTTGATTCAACGGAAGTACTTGATGAGGAAGGATGGTTGATGGTCAGGGATATCGATCATCTTGAGTTCGAAGATGCAGCAGAAGTGTTTGATGGCGATGGATGGTTGGTCGCTGAGCTTCTTGAACATCCCATTGTGGCATACCTCCTAGATGCTATGGCAGATGGTCTTGAAGCAGCCTCGGATATTCTCGGAGACATGAGTTTTTATGTCAATGCTGTTGATGCCGAATACGAATGGGTCAACTCAAGTTCCGAAGAAGAGGACGAATGTGACGATGGCACTGAACCAGAAGGTTCTGCTGAGTCCTGGGGCCGACAGCTCTTACCAGAGGTCGGCAATGCCAGACTGGGAACTCGCATTGTCACTGCAGCCATTCCAACTACCTCTGCATTGACTGGCGGTATCGTCGAAAGAGAGGCACAAGAAGCAATGGGCATCTTCGAAGAAGCACATCCAGGTCCCGAAGATCATCCTGATGTGCGAATGAACGGAGAGTTTTCTCCAATATTAAACGGCGAGCCCAACATGCTCCACCTTTCGAATATGTTTAGGAACATGGACCGTGTAAGGAACGAAGCTGCCGAGAATTGGAAAAACAATCCAAGCGAGCAAGATCCCAATGCGCCAATGCGGGAATACTTGATAATGCCTGGATTTGATGATGAAGACGAGGACATTGTGGAATTGCCCCGAGATGCAATCGTAAAGATGAAGGAGGCAGAGCAAAAGATCTATGCTAGTGGCATGGCGTATGCTCGAAAAGAAGTTGCTGAGGCCAAAGACGAGGGCGAAGACGTCATGTTCACAACTGAGTTGGAACTAGTCAGGCCTGCCCTCATCAGCAATGTCTGGAAGCTATTCAAGGTAGAGGAAGTCGCCTCGAAGTTAAACATCACTCATGATGTAGCCGAGATTGGGGATGACGATCCCTTTGCTTTTGACGAGATGCAACCGACATTTTAGATTGCCTTGGGCGATTTCGATGTTTTATTCTCTACAATTCCGAAAGCATACTCTCATCATCTATCTGGTCTTCTGGGGTTTCTCTACACACCCACGCACTTCTTGGTTTACTCCGCGGCAATATGACGTTCTTCCTCCATTTTTATGCAGTTCGCTTCACTCTACACGGCATCACCTCGACGTTTCTCTTACCTCGTCTCCTCTGCGACATTGACTATCAACAAATTCTTCTCCTGCCTTTGACTACAAACCTCACACTGCGACTTACACTTATGGACTTTGATTATCTGGTTATTTTTGGGACAATGGTTTACTAATTCTTCGGGAATGGGATTTTGGAAAAGGGAGTTCGGTTTGGAAATGAAATTGCATAGTTGACGGGTTGGAATACTGGTGGAGTTCGGCATTTTAAAGGGTAGCATCAGTTGGGAATTGGGCATAGCATATTACGGCACAGCATGGTGGGACATGGCATATTTTGGATGAATGGAGTTTTATCTTGGGAATGCGAAATCATGGTGTTAAAATACCCATTTGTATGGAGTTTTTGTTTATAAGGGCGCAGCGCATGGAGATGGTGTTGGGATACCCATTTGATTTTATATCAAGCATTGTATGGCATGGCATTGCATGGAGTTTTATTTTTGAGCTGCATAATTATGTTGTTAAGATACCCATTTGAATTAAAGTATGACCAAGTCAGGAATTATGGTTTTGTTCATAGACATTAGGTGTATTTTGACGTGATTGTGATATGATGAAGATCTATCGATTTACTCTTCCTGATCCTTTCCTCTTGTTCTCATATCCCCAAATCCACACCAGTAAGATCATCAACCTCCCACTCATCACCCTATCTTCCACACGCAAAGTAGACCCCACTCACTTCCCATTCGCAAAAGCAAAAGGACAGCCTCCCGTCCTCTCCCTCCCCAATCGTTCCTCCCACCTCCTCATATCCTCCTCTCCAACCCCCTCTTTCTTTTCCGGTCCTATCTCCTCGAACCTATATCCCTGAGGCCTCCACTCATTATTCCTTCCCTCTCCCTTCCCCATCCCCTTCTCATCCCCCACCTCCTCCGGCACAAACCCGCCTAGCACCCTCGTAACCATCGCCATCGGCCCCCAACTATTCCACCACCCTGGTTTTTGATAGTACGGATGCACGAGATAATTAGTGCTATGGAATCTACCATCTATCCCCTCATCATCACTGCTCGAGATTTCTCTCACGCGCATCCATTGTGGTCTTGGTAGTGAGAAATGCGCCAGGAGATATTTGCGGGTATTGAGGACGTTGTTTGTGATGGTTGTGTTGAGAGGGGAGGGCTCCGGGTATATCATTGCGGAGCGAAGGAGTGGACCCATTAGGACACCCACTGCATCGTGCGCAAATGGGAGGAGGGCTTTGGGAACGAGGAAGAGAAGGAGCGGGACGAGTGCATCTGCTGTTCTTTTGTTGTAGGGGTTTGGGACCATGAACTTCCTCTCGTATTCTTCTGCCCACTCTTTGATATCCTCGTAAAATTCAATTCCGTCTTTCCACTCCACTTTTCCTCCATGTCCCCTCTTCAAAACCTCATACGAAATACCCATCCCATCACCGATCCCCTTCCAGAAAGTACTTATCGCACATATCTCCATCTCATTCAGCACCCTCCATTCATACTTCCCAATCCACGCTATTGGCTCGGTGATAAATACAGACAAAGTATATAACAAATCATCATTTGATATCTTCCCGGCTTTTTGATAGGGGGAATGAAGATAGTTCATGCGGGAGATGGCTTTTAGGACACGTGGATGAAGAGGATGATGAGAGGCTATTTCTCCAATCAGAATACCTGTGTCGGCGTAGCGTTTGCTGGCTGTTTCTTTGGAGCTGAATTGTTTGGTATCAACGAGGAGTTTAGAGATGGTGGGGATGCCGTAGGTCTGGTGAGGGATTTAGTATATTTTTGGGGGAAATTGGATGGGACGCACTCATGCCAACCCAGACGTAAGAAACGAAACCAAGGATTGAGACATATCGATCAGGAATTAAAAAGACTTACCTTGAAAAGAGCAAACTGGAGGCTGGTCTTATAAAATCTCGGAAACTCCAACTCCCCTATATAGCTCGTGATTTTTTGAGCATCCGTGTTTGTCATGTACTTGAATGATTCTCTCGTGTTATAGCCAAACTTCTTGACCATGGAGTCCCGTCTGGAAAATCTGAGGTAGTGAATAGCGAGGAGATATGTTGAGATGATGAAGAGGATGACCGTAGTTGAGGGGGGTGAGGGGAGGAAGGACGAAGCAGCAATCCGTGGGAGAGAGAAATGGATTGTTGTATTGATGGACATGATTGTGAGATTAAAGGTGTGATGTCAAACGTAGATGAGGTAAAGTGAGAAGTGTGATCCAACTCGATATTAGATATGAATGAGATCACTGTCGCGGATAATTTTTCTATTTCTTTATTCGAACAGCCGAGGGAACAAACTGGCCTTCGATTTGATTAACGGCAAAGTTCGACACCCAAGAAAAGAAGTGAGGCTTCCCAGCTTATACTTTAAATATAAATGTGGAAAAGCCTCAGAAAGAAAACTACGTTATCAAGGATCATGTATCTTTGACAAGCGCTGTGCTTTGACAATTTTCAATGCTAAAAGTAGGTCTCAGTCAACTAAGCACTGGTACGTATGCTATAAAGTATAGCGAGACAAGAATACAATGACTTCAAGAAAGGGTTGGTTTCGGTCCTTAGGAAAGTGTTCTGCATGAAAGTAGTAGGATGAAGACAATGAGTTGAGGGGCAACTGGAGATCATTATCATTCGTAAAATCATGTCATTCATATAGCGAGCGGAATAATGCTATCCCATGAACTATGTACGTAGTGAGTGAAGAAGAATCTTGACTTATGACTTGAAAAGTTATACACGCCCCGTAATTGCGAGTTGATATCAAATCATTGGAAAGACGCTCAAAAAGATCAGCTCAAAGTCGTCGAGACTCGCGTGGGAAGCTGAAATCTAGAAATGTTCTAGTCAAGTGTGAAGAAGAGCCATTTCTGTGACTAACGAAGATTGCGGTGGTCCGGTGTATCGTGAGTGAGTTCGAAAGACTAATAGTGGCTTAAGCATATCAATTGTGTCATGAAATTGGCGAAAAGGGAAGCAATTCACAAAAATCTCTAAGTTGATGGATGGAGCGAATATTCCACCATTGGATAGCGTCAAGCGAATATGGGTGCATGTCTTGGGGTCCGGTAGTGAGCTAGATGTATATTGGCAACCTTAGCAAAATAGGGATACCGCAACAAACCTGTATCTAGAACCCTAAAGTAATCCAATCTGGGGAACAAACATTGGTATCCAAACGACTATCTAAAACATGGGCGGTAAGATCCTAACCAATCCATGTTATCCATGACAGAAGTATAGTGGGTATAAAGCGACCGTTTTCGTAGCTTCTGAACCTCCCAATGCTGTGCTTGTCAAATTCAAATCGGTCAATTCTTTCGTTTCATCATACTCATACCGTCGTAAAATACTTGGGTTCCTTTCATAGATGATGACAAAAAGTTTTCCTATTCCTTTTGGGTCATGCTCAATGCCACATCCTTCGTTGCAAAACTAAAAGGACTCCTTGTCATCTCCGGACTTCTTGGACTCATTTTGATGGCAAATAATTCATCTTCTGTCTGATCTTCATCGAATGTCTCTTGTGGCATATCATCGAGTGCAACAGCGTTTAGAGAATTCATTCCGTGTTGCGAGGAACGATTGTTCGGTTTTTGAGCGACAAGGCGTGGTGGATGAGGGCGGGAGGTTGCTCCGTGAAATAAGGAGAATGATGACACAGCGACATCACCCTGTTCTGGAGATAGTGGGTTTGAATGACCTTCGAATTTAGATTCTATGATATTTAGTCTCATACTCTTGATTTGTGAATCTATGGCTTTGTACATACCTGAAATCTTACTCAAATCGTGTGCACTAGTCCCTAATTTCAACCCCTTAAGCTTCTCGGATAATCTCCCTCCACCAGGTGTTTTTGGACTAGTCAGTGTAGCATTATTTTGTATGTCCGGTTGTGTAATTTTTGGACCAACCCCAAAGTTCTCTTCGATCCATTGTTTTTCTTGCATAGCCATTTCTAGACCTACTCCCTCCCCATTCGTTTTCATCTCCGCATCGATTTCTTTTTGCAAGACAGATATTCTTTTCTTCGCCCACACAGTATGTAATACACCCTTTCGTCCAGCTTGCCGCGCACTCGATCCTAATTCGGGCGGAAATATTGCAGGTAGTGGGTTCGTTTGAATTATTTTCCCTCCCACTTGTGATAGTTTTATGATTCTTGGTATGCAGGCCCCAGGAGCCAGTAGAAAGTAGAGTCGATGAAGTTTCCCTTCTGCTCCATCTCGTGCAGCTAAAACGGTACTTTTTCCTTCCCAAGATACCTCCCAATCTCCCATATTCTTGATTGCTCCTTCAGTAGATTCATCTTCCCATTCCACCATCAATATTTTAGTCCCTTCATTTCCTCGACCGGATTCGAATTCAAAGCGGGCGAGAGCTGTCGAAGATGATAATGCGGGAGCGGCTTGTCCTGCGTTATCAGAGGAAGTAGGTAATGGTACACTATCGGGTTCGAAATGTAATCGTGGTGAAGAAGTAGAGACGGCCATTTTGTGTTATGCTCTTGCCTTCCTCGGTACTCGAAGAAGCTTTAGAGAAGAGGTGAACGTTTATCGCGGGTTAATCCATTCGATTAAAGACCGACTATCTGTTTGAAAAGGTTAGCCAAGAAAGCATGCACGGCTGCTATCTCTTTTGGGATATCAAAGGTGGAGATGTTAACTTTTTTAGTAAAGAGGGGATCGAATGAAGATGGAGAAGAGCTGAAGATAGAGGGAGAGATGGAGACCAGAGATGGAGACCTACAATACCTCTAACTATTACCTGTAACTTGTCGGTTCACCTCCTTATGAGTTATCGTTTTGACTAACCGTACTCAAGTACCGACCGGATTTCTTCTTTGAGCTCTCTTGGGAATGGATGTATTGATATTGATATTGATATCGACATCTGCATGCGTTTAATGATCCGATCATCTCATCAATAGCCAATAAGAACATCAATGACCATCAATGAGAATTTCATCTAGGGTTCCCGGGTGGGTTCTCGTCTTAAGCCAATAAAATAATAATACTGCACATCCATCTCGTAGTTGTATTTCGTTTCCGTTGTGTGAAGGATTCTAATAATACATACTAGCCTCAGCCTCAGCCTGGTCTGGGTCGCAAATTGGGTCGGCCATCCGGGCGGAATCTCTAAATGGAGAATAATAAGCATGAACCCATGAACCATGAATGAACCACACTTTCTTTTCTTATCACACCTTTCTTACCACACCCTTTCTTATCACATACATCAAATTCGACCAATTCAATTATACCAATGAAACCACCATCAACTCACATTGTTCACATCTACAGAGTACATTGTATGTAAGATCTTATATTCATAATTAGTTCAATTCTCTAACCTCCCACCCCAGCCTCGCCCATCTACTCTACAAGTTCTACCGGACAAGTTCTACGAACGAACGAGTAACACATCTTGGGCGTGCTTGATTATATATATATATTCAAGTCATCTTGAGAAACGGACGGCAGAACCAAACTTCCTTCAAAAGCCACTTTTGTTATTATTGTCCCTGTCCGTAACTACTGTTGTATCACTATGAATACTTCATCGTATAGCTAGCTAATCACTTTAGTCCCAATCACAGAAGCTGGGAAAGCGGGGTAGAAGATCTTACTGTATGTTACATCTTAGGTTAAAAGAGTACATACGGCTATTCTCTTTTACCTGTTTCTACAAAAAGTCAAAGTCTTCCATACCGGTATTTCATATTAAATCTGCTGTCATACACGTGGGTTTTGGATGAGTTACAGGGAAAATCATAGAGCTCACGATGCGATTTAAGCAAAGAATTTTCCTGATGTTGGCATATATTATCTAATCAACATTGTTCAGGCATCAGAATGCCTTGGTATACGGGCTGTGCCGCTGCAGATCTGATTTGCTTCGTTTGACTATCATGACATCTGAATAGCGCCCGGAAAGCCAGTAACTCGTCTTAACGCTGACTAAGGAGCACTTGATTCGTTCCATGGGGATGAAATTGGAACTTCAAACCTTCTCAACTCTTGAGAATTTGTTACAATACCGAAGAATTCCTCAGTCGGCATCAACTACCGTCGTCTACAAGGCACCAGTCTAACTCGCTATACTTTCCTCATTTGAAGACTATGAGTAATTCTCAGGGGACAACATTTATTTGATGACTGCAGACCACAGGCTTATCTTAGGAACAACATCTTCACCGCTACGTTCCCAGATAATAATAATCTCTTTTCCTTCCACGTTTTTAAGGTTGATGCAGATATGGTTGAGATCCTTCGAATCTAGGCAACTTTTTTATAATGGACGCCGGCAGTGCACGAGGTGGCCGTTTAGTTCCTTTGAACATAGGAGTCGTCGGTTAGAGTTGGTAAGTTAATCACGAATGTTATCAAGCCGAGAACAATATTTCCAATGAGATCTGTGGATCTACCAAAGGAGATCGCTTTCACTTTCGACAAGGTCGAAACATCTTAGTAGTCATCGAGCAGTTATCAAACAACCTGGGCTGTGAACAAAAATTGTTGACGACTTCATGTCATGGTCACTCGGGGATTTGGGTCGATTAATACTCATGTGGGTCTCGAAGAGAATGTTTCCATCACTGTTTGTTTCACATTCATTACCAGACAGATCCCACCACCATCAAACCCAGGATATATCTTATGTATATGTTGTTCCCTTGGTCATGGGGTCGATGGAGTTGAGCGTCTTGTTTGGCTTTTTCTACTTGCCCCATATCCTACTATCCCTCTATCTAGCATTGGTTACGAAGACAAGAATCTTACCGCATCTAGTTGGTACTCGACTGCACTATGCAACGATCTATGCATCTCTTTGCAAATTAAAGAAAGATATAAGAATTTCAAAGACAAGAATTCTTCAGCTTGAAAACATTGAACTAAGATGATGACTACCTCGGAAAACGAAACGATGCCCACATATCGATTACCTCTGCATCAGGTACCTCGTCAGCGCCGTTCTCGATGAGGATATTAGGCGTTGTACTATGTAATACGCAGCGACCGACCCGAACAATCCTTAAAATCCTGTCAGACCGCGGCGGAGTATATGTAAGAGGGCGCGGACTACCAAATGTTCCTTTTGGAAGAAGATCACTCGATCCACCAGCCCTAACAGCATCAACGGCACTAATATTGCCAACTGAAGCAACAGGGCAAACTAGATCACTAAAAGGAACCTGGAGAAATGCTAGGCCATCACCAACCAGTGATACCCTTAGAGATAGTATACGTGCACGAAGTCACTATTTAGTACCTCATGGCAGTTACAAATTTCAGTCTGACATGATTTTTGCCGCCCCAATGCATGTTAGAAATAGTACGAGCATACACTGAGCGACAGTCATTACCGATAAGTCAACTACCCTACTTATGGACCACCCTTTCACACCAAAAACAGTCATTTTTCATTTTTATAACTTTTTAGTTAATCGATGAAATTGAATGAAATTTTAAATACAGATTCTTTATTAATAGAATTATAGATATCCGAAAATCACTGTTTTTGGTGTAAAAGGGTGGTCCATAAGGGGGGGGGTGGTCCATAAGTAGGGTAGTTAGTTGACTTAAGACGTATTTCAGACCGTTTTTGAATACGTCTTCACAAAGATGAGGAAATTTGTAGTCCTTAGGAAGTGGTCAAATATTCGTGTTATACTTCCCATTTCTACCCGTATTGATCGAGGTCTAGAGGATTTACGCGATCCAACTATTCGTGTTGAGAATATTGCGTTTCGAGAAGCAGATTAGGATCCGACAGAAGCAGCAGTAGAAAATGAAAATGGAGAAATACTCTCCTGCAAACTCGACAAGTTTCAAAATCTATACAATGGGATACATATCATATCGCTGCTATCTACATCCGTATCACTGAGATCTATATATTCTGATACAATCTATCTTACTGGTTTGAAGCTTCCACCGACAAGGATAATATAAACAAAGCAATCGATCTTTACAACAAATATCCTCCTCTAGTTCCTAGAATCGAGTAAACAACTAATACTAAGCATAGCCTCAAAACCGTTATAGTTCTATGATGACGTTTCAAGAGATCATTGTAACAATAATTAAGTACTTTCCACGTTGTCACAGATCTAGAACACATATTTAGGGATAACATCTTTTATTTTACTCGCAATACTCTCTTTCTTCCAATGACTGTCACAGTAATATACGAGTATATACTGAGTAAAAGCTCCAAAGTTATTACGCGATTTTAATCAAGGGTTGAGTGGCTATGCTTTTGTATATTGAAAGTCTAATATATTTCAATTGAAGTTTTATCTTCTTCATAAAGTTCATCCATCTATTATTTGATCACAATTATCACCTTGTCCTACCATATAATCTTTATTTTCGTGCCTATCAATTGACCTCTAGTTTATATATTTAAGTTGCGGAACCAAAAGTTCAATTAGAAATTAAAATCGACATGATATCTGAGTTGATCTTTTGCCAGCAAATCACCCATGCATGCTATTTTATCATTCAGTAACCAGCTAATCCGCATGCTTAATGGAAGTCGTGGATAATTTATTCATGAACTAGCAAGGCACAAATCTGCGGCACCGGGCTATGTCTGTACGGTAAAGCACTAATAGATGACATTAGATCTCAGTGTTCATTGGACTCGCTTCGCAGTCTAATATTAATTCAAGACTAGCTACCATCAAATCATACTTTCTTTAATCTTGACTGGTCTGATGTTCTCCATGATATCCCATCTCATCTCAAATGTGTTTCTCACAACGACTTTAGAACGCTATTAGATCTCGCCATTCACTTGATGCGATTCGCAGTCCAGTATTTTGCAACTAGCGAATGTTCGCTTAGATTTTCGTTCCGTCTAGTATCGTCTGATTTCTCCTATTCTATTTAGTTTCATCCCAAATTCAACCCTGCTTCGTGATTTCTGATTCCACAAGTAACTAAAATTCATTCATGTTTTGATTTTGCCACGTCTGATTTCCATTTTTCAACTCTAATTATCCTCTCATCTCCCAGATGTGCTTCTTTGCAATAATGGTAAGATGATTTTCGTAGTCTAATAACTAATAAAGGGTCGAGAATTCCAATCCTGTCTTGTTTGAACTCATTCTATTTGATGTTATCTCTTTTTGCATATTGGTCACGATGATTAGCTGGCGAAATTAGAAATCGTTATTCGTTGAGTTACTTGAGTATATTCCTTAGTCTAACATTCATTCATTCTATAACCTCGATTGTCTAATCCACTTCTATCCCGTCTAATCTCATTCCAAAGTATATCTAGCGGTCCAATGACTCTAATTTTACCATCACTTACTTAGTCTTTCCAACCGTCATCCTTTTAGTGTCTAATTCAAATTCTTCCCTTTTCCTGACTTGATTTTTCTCATCCCATAGTATGAATTCCCAATAGGGCTCAAACAACTCATTCTTCGTCCCAAATACTAGTATCCTATTCAATATTTTCAAGTGTATATTATAAATATATCAGTTTCGTATAACGAAGTTCAGTGAATGTTTTTCTATTTATATGCCGCTCCATCTATATTCATCAAATTTTCACTAGCATTATAATATTTTCCTATCATAACCTATATCATCCGAGTTCTCTAACTATTATCTTCAAAATCTGAAATTTTCAATATACTTTTAAAATCATTATAAAATTGACCAACTAGTAGATATCCAACGGTATTAGTATAGTAATATATTATCGATTTCCTTATATTAGATTAAACGGCAATTTACTCTCATACTACTAAAAGTGAAATATATTACTCTCATGCCACAAAAACCAGAGCCCTTGTACTTTTATACTATTTAGAATCTAACCTTGAATAGCTAGATTCTATACTTTTTATTATAGATTCTATCCTTCTATTATATTTATTTTATTATATTTACTTTATTGCATTCACTCGTTTATCATATCTACCTTTCCCTTCTTTACCCCCCTACTTCCACTATATACTACCTCTTCTCTTCCTCACCCCCTCCCTTTCCTATTGTATCTATTCTCCTATTATATCTACTTTCCCACTATATTTACCCTTCTACTATATCTACTATACCACTATACATTACTTCCTTTCTTCTCATTACCTCCTCTCCTCTCCTCTATCACCTCATCTCCCCACCGCCTCTTCTTTCTTTATTATATCTATCATTCTACCATACACCACCTCCTTTTCTCATCATTGTATATATCCTTACTATATCTACTCTCACTATATTTTATTTTCTTATTCCTCTCCTCCTCCCCCTGTAGATTCTATTCTTCTATTATAGATTCTATTATAGAATCTAAGTGATATGAGAGTAAAATAGATATGATTTTTATAATATAAGAGTAATATATTTCACTTTTAGTAGTATGAGAGTAAATTACCGTAGATTAAATAACTATATACAAGCTCAGATAATTATATCTTATTATACTAGTACTCGAGTATAAAAAAAAGAATAATATAATATAACTTCAAATAAGAAGTCTAATCTCAATTATCGTTATATAACTATTTTATACTCCGAGTCGAGTATATTAGATATCAAATCAATTATATATCGATTCCAAAATTTTATTATATATTTGAGTATATCTATATTATTATATACCGATATATAATATAATAGAAAATTTGAAATTTTATAACAATTCCTTTTTAGATGAGGTTTAGTTGTCTTTGATTATATATAGTATGTGACCAAAAGGGTATAAACAGGACTCCGATTGTGTACTTAGAATCTACAAGTGAAGAGCTATGTAGGATGCTAAAAGGAGGGCTATATATACAGGTATTGGGAGCCATAAGGGCTAGGCCAAAAAGGGTGAAAGAGTCCTAGGCGTAAGATGCCTAGGTCTAGAGCTATAGAGCTAGGGCTCTAAGCTGTGAAAGGAAGGTCCAAAAGAGCCGTCATATCATACTATGTATGTAGTATGAGCCAGTGGGCGGAAGAGAGCCGTCTGTTCCGTCACATAGTAGTAGTAAATTCATGATCGATTTGATCTACCTATAGCTAATGCTACGTGGACCATTCGATTATATATAAGAAATCAAAATTTCTACTACTCGAGTATAACGATAAAGATGTCTTCTACGAGTATCGTGATAAGAACTCTCAACTCTCAACTCTCAACTCTCAACTCTCAAATCTTCAATCATCAATTTGCATCCGCCCACCTTGTATCCCATCCTCCATCCCTATCCTTATTCCCATCCTCATCTCTATCCCCCCAAATACCTTCCAACTAATCTCACACACATAAAATCTCAAATCTCAAATCTCGTATTCATACTACATTATAAAACAATTACTATAACATCATTTAATTAACTAGTAAATATCTTTATATTGTACGACAATAAACCATTCGTAAATATTCGTTATATTTATCCACAATCCACAAGCTATAATCAATCAACCGTAACACCACCACCACCACCATCACCATATCCATCATCATCATCAATCACTACATCCATCCCCCACTAGCCACCCACACAATCCCCTACAATCCCCAACCCCATGTCCCGAGTCCGAGCCCCAGTTCCCAGTTCCCAGTCTCAGTCTCAGTCCCAGCCGGTAGTTGCATTATAGTTATAGTTGCATTAATCCCCTCCCTATAATCCTAATCCCTATCACCTTCATCTCCATCTCCATCTCGATTAATTATCCTATCCTATCTAATCTAATCCAATGCAATCCATTCGGACCTTTAACTTTTAACCATTAACCATTAACCATTAACTATTGACCATTAACCATCAAAAGACAAGACACAATAAGCTAAGATACAACACGACAAGACAAGACAAGACAAGACAAGACAAGACACGACGACACGACAAGACAAGACAAGCCGGGGAAGAGTTTCCGATGTTGCGTTATTGGTTGGGTGATATGGTGTGTGTGATATGATGTTGATGGATATATGGATGTTTGATATCAATGCGTGGTAGGTACTAACTACCTAGGTATGTAGTGCGATAGCGGGTAAATTAATTTTCCCCATCTCCCCATCTCCCCAGTTCCCGCCTCCCTCCCCATTTCTCACCTCACTCCCCACCTCTCAAATACCCCCATTGATACGATACCGTACTGTTATTTTCTTCATCAACAAGAAGTGTGACAGAATATGTTTCATCGGTAGTCATCTGTAAGAGTTTGTGGAAGCTAATCATTAGTATGTACTCGTACATGTGTATTACTATACTATGACATTCATTTCGTCGGTATTTGTTTATCGTCTTTGTGTTCCCAAATTTGAACATTCAACATTTGTAGTTTCCCTTCGGAAAATATATCAACCTGTCATCACCAACCTCTCATCCCACCTCCGAAATGTTTTCATGTCTCGTTGCTCTCATTGTACCTATGTTCCCAAAGCGTTTACTAACGACCTTTTGTAACTTCCAGGACTCCATTTCTTAAAGACATGACGTTCTTGATGCCATGAATTTCTTGATACCATGACATGTTATGTATCTTAGTAGTTGTCTTCGTCGCCAGTGATAAAGGTTTGACGTTTGGATTCCCAAGAATGTGATATATCGAAACCTTCCCCTTCATCTCCAGCCCCCAACCCTTCCTTCATCCCACCTTTCCTTCCGCTCTCTCCTTGAGTAATAGACTTTCTTCGTCTCCCTAAACTTTCGAACCCAATCACTCGCTTCTTTCTCCGTAGCAACTCCATCACCCTCAAGAAAACTCTCTTCCATTGCCCTACATATCATTTCCTGTTCTTGAACTCCTTGTCCTAATCTTTGATATAGTGAGCTCGGTGAGAAGGGCGCTAACGCTCTATCCATCTCTGACTGTTTTTGTTTCCATTGACGTTCCAATGCATGTGCGGATAGTAATTGATCTTGGGTTGAAGAGCGCAGGTGATCGAGTCGAGATTCGACTTCCAATAGATGGGTTGCTAGTGCGATATTCTCATTCAATGCGGATGTTAATGGTTCTTGTGATGCGGAAATGGATGGATGTGCGGTTGATGTTGAGTGTGTAAGAGCGGCTAAGAGGGCAGGGTTGGATAAAGTGGATGCGAGGTCTTGTTTCCTGGATGATGTCAATAATGTTTCAACGAGCTTCAAGTGATCCTACTTTACACTAAAGTAGTATTCATCAAAGGAATGGAGTCATTCTTAAGAATCATGATAGGTAGGATAAGAAATACATGCAGTGAGATGATATTCATCTGCATATGGTAGGGTAATACATACGATTTATCCTTTAACATTTTCGGAAGCCATTGATCCCCAGGATCTTGTATCTGTTGAGGTTGTTCTCGTGGAGAATCATCATGTCTTTCTTCGTATTGCATTGATGTTTTTTCTCCAGATCTAGGAAATGATTGATTCCCGGTTCCCGCAGGTGTACCTTGACGACTCACATCTTGGGAATTTGGTTTTGGTGGTGGTGGTGGAGGAGCATTTGGATCTATGCCAGAGTAGGATTGAGAGTTTCGATGAGGGGTGGTGTAACTTGAAGTAGGATATGGAGATGGTGAAGACATTTTGGTGTTGGTTGATAGATATTCGGATAGGGGTAGTATTTAGACACTTGGATAGTAAGTATATCAATGTACAACTCGACGTATTGAGTAAGGTTTTGAAATGGTTAATAAGGTGTAAAGAAGAGTTTGAGGCTAATTAAGTATGGAACGAGGATGTTTATGCATCATTACATTAATTAAGCTTCAACCCCACGAATTTGATGGATCCCCATAACTTCACGTGGCTATTAAGATTGCGAGTGTGTTAGTAGCTGTCAGCTAACCGCACACCCAGTATTTAAAGTTGGTCAACTCTAATAATAGTTTAATATCACACCTACCAAAAGATAAAGCCACTCTATCACTTATCCTCTTCTCTTGACTTTAATCAACACCAGATAACAGATTGATTAAAAGTGGCTCTTCATCTTCATAGAGCGGCCGCCGTTTAATATCAAATATATATCATTCTATGTATATACTTCATGATATCATATACCAAATCTATCATCAACCGCATCAGATGTACAGTATATTGAATACATACCGGCATCAGAGTATTCTTTCATTCATACGAATACTCGTACAATAAATCATACGTCCGTATAAAACTCATCAATTGCTGACACTGGTAATCCGGTGGTAATCAATCCAATCCATTATCCATCCCACTGCACTTCTCCTCTCCCCCGAAAGGGCTTGGCAATGATAACCTACAACAAGAAATAGGACCGGTTATGTACCTGTTCGATTCCAAGGTTTCTCTGTCCCTGATAACCGGTATGTTATATTATGTTAGGTATGTTTCTCAAGACTAGACTCAAGTCACATCTCGTTTCATCCCTCTTTCCCCGGCCCCCCCCTCTCAAAAACTTCCACCAGTAGTGATGAACAATAACTCATCAATTCATACTATTATATATATATATGAAAAGATCTTCTTATTATTTTCCTAATATGTTTTAAAAAAGATCTTAAATCTTACTCAAAAGTACTTTTCAGCTACCTATCCCTATACATAATAGAAAAAGAATCAGCCGCTCAGTTGCGTTTGTTTGTTGTCCGGAATTAAAAATCCAATGTAGGTTTTGAGAATAGGGCCGAATGAGTTTTCTTTTTTTCTTTCTGTGAGTCCAATTGTGTGATTTGTTGTTACATTTTTATATTTCTTTGATTGCGAATTGTTAGATAATGCAATGCAGTACTGAGTGAGTGAGATGGGGAATTTGCTCCAATAGTATGTTGGATGTTGGATGATGGTGATAGAATGGGAAGATTAGTTAGTGAGAGGGATGATTGATGATTGATGATGCTATCTGTTGATGATGTTGGGGGGAAGGGGGGGATGTTCGTATTTGGTCATTTTGGTGAGGAGGGGGAGGATTGATGATTGATGATTGAGATGGAGGATGGAGGATGGGGGGGGAGGGGGGTGGTTGGACTGGTATCTGTTCAGGTGTACTTACTTGTACAATATATTGATTCATCTGACGAGCGTCACAGCTATAATGTCTGTTAATAATTACTCTAAGTATATACCTATCTATCAACCCTTTTTTAACGGTAGATAGCATGAACTATACTGGTATAGGTATTGTATCATGCAGGTATCATTATGCAGTTTCATCCAGCTTTGATTTACAGTATATTAGTAACTCGAGTACCTACCTAACTTCAATCAACATCTACTCTAAAATATACCAATATACTATACTCGGAAAACCTTCCACTTTAATTTAATAAATATACTCGGCTTCGGCTTCGGTCTCAATTACACTCTCATACATATTACATTACATATACATATCCATTATGGGGCAATGGGGGAAATCCACTTCTTTCTTTTGCCCCAGATCCCGTTTTTTTTGCGTCGTCGGAAAGTTGGGATTGTCATGTGCGTGGGAAAGAAGTGGGTTTCTCCATAATGAAATCCATAATGATGTTCTTCTAATTTTCTCCACCATTTAGAAGGAAGGAAGGAAGGAAGGGGTGTTGGGTAGAAGTATGCTATGCTAGAGAGAGTAGGTTATTTTGTGGAGTGGAACCGCTGGAGCGGCGTTAATATGGATGGGGGGGAAATGGGGAATCGGGATGGATGGTATGGATGGATGGATGAGGAATTTGGGGGGAGGGTCTAGATTTATATTTATGATGGGATATGGGATATGGGATATGGTAGGCGGAGTGAGTGGAAATGAAAATACTAGGTAGCTATAGAGTCTAGGACTCTAGGGGGATGTGGTAAGTTTGCCGATAGCTTGGGGTTTGGGGAAGGAGAAGGGGAAGGGGAAAGGGATGTGGGAAATTGGTAACTGGATGGGGGTCATTGGTATTGAATAGGATGGGATAGGATAGGATTGGGGATGGAAATGATTGTTAATCAAAGAACTGCAAATATGTATGATATCTGTACGGTACACAGTATTATCAAGTACCGACAGATACCTAGGCACGAATGTACAGTAAATACCTAGGAAAGGAATGTCATTCGGGAGTTACAATGAATGTAATGAGTTGATTTTCTATCATTTGATAAATACTGTATCTACTCGTAGGAAGAAGAACCCTTTCCTTTCCTATAAGATAGTCTTAGTCTATAGAGTGACAATGTTGTACTTAAGGTATTCAACCTAACAGAAGAGAATACGAGAAAATGATGAAACGCATAATCTCATCTATCTCGGTCAAATATAAATAATATTCTGGATAGTAACCTTACAAGCCGCGGGTGGTTATAATACAGTAACCGGTACGTATGGTACTCTTGATTATGATTATCCATCTACTTGAATTATGTCTCGATTTGGTCGGTCCATCTATATAGATGTACAATACCGGTAGTAATCTGATAAGATATACTCGAGTAAGATACTTGCTTGCATTTTCTCTATATTCCTCCTTCTATCCTATCATATATATTCATTAAATACATCAGTCATCCATCTCTTCCAAATATCTTTCTCGTTCTCGCTCTTATTCCCATTCTCATTCTCGTTTTACTTACTGTAACCGGATTCCACCTACTGAGTAATGTATTTCATATTCCCCACTTCACATCAGTGGAGTGTGGAGTCTCCATAAAGACGCCGACAGGAAGAAGCTTTTCTTTCTTTCTTTAACACTAAACTAAAAGTGGATATATATTTCCTGGAATTTGGTTGGGACTTGGGAGTAAGTAATTGGGCCGATAGAGAAAAGAAGAGAAGAAGAGAAGATAGAAAAGAAGAGGAATTAAAAGAATTAAATATTATTATAATTAATTCTGGAAGGATATAATATTTATAACCTTCACTTCAATCAACAACAGACTCATACTTTAATTCACTGGGTATCAATACAACACTGCTTAGATATCTATTCCATTCATCGATAATCGATAGATACTCCTTCTCCTTCTCCTTCTCACTACCCAGTCACTTTTATTCTAATACCCTTTACTTTAATAACTTCAACTTCAACCAGATACAAATAACAAATACAGATCTACCTACCTAGTTATTTATCAATTATTACTCCACATTACAGATAACTCCATACAGTTCACTACATCATACTAAATAAAACATTCAAGGGGAAAACGTGTCCCATCAACTCTATTCTCTTTTATATTATTAGACCCATTTCCTTTTCATTTTTGTTAGAAGAAACACTCATCCACTACTCATCCACTCATCCACCCATATTCAATCTTCAAAGGTTCTGAAGTTTCCTTCATTCGTTCATTATTCATCCTCCTTCTTTCTCGGTTTTTGTCTGTTTTACCAAATTCATTCCCATATAAAAAGAAGAAAGGATATAAAGATTTGATAGGAAAACAAGGATTAACTTATCTATTGGATTCTTCTTACCTATTAATTCGCTATCGTTGGAAATACCCGCACCGAACAAGTTACCGATTTGTACTCACTCCCACATCCCTCCATCCAACACATTCTCCATACCTACAACTACACTACCCTTACCTACTTCATCAATACTCAACCGCTTCAACTTCTTCAACAATCCCCC